CTATATGATATACAAAAACCCAACATGGCAATTGGCCATATGATACTTAAATTAAAAATCTGACAACGGACCAGGAAACAGGACAGATCAGAGGAATTCAAACAGGCTACCCTCACCTCGTAACTCATGGATTTATCCATGATGATGATGATAGTGACTGGAAGCGATTACCATCTGAAGGTAGCTTGGTGGCCTGCCAAATGAGCTAATGGTCTCTCTCAGTCTGTTTTCTAATGATAGAGAGTCTACATCACAAAAACAGTAAGCTAATTAACACCAGTGATTGCAAACTCACCACACAGCCAAGGAATGATCAGGAATGGAGACTGAATTAGTCTCTCAGACTTCTAGAGGCATAGCTCATTGAGATAAGGCATTAGACACATCAGTGATATACAGCAGGAAAGCTTGCATGCTATCACTGCTTGTGCCATACTTCTGCAGTGATAAATATAGGATGCCAGACAGCCTATTTTTTCCCCCTACCCACATTAATGGTGAAATCCTCTCCCACATGATTATCCAGAGTAAATAGGTTTAGCAAGGAAGAGCTCATCACAGGGTGTAATCCTGCTCTTCAGGCTTCACAGTGCCCGCTGTCTCACTCCTGTAGTAACCTCTGAGAGTGCTATCTTCAGATTAAAAGCAGAACGGTGCTTGCATGCTCACTGTACTTTTTGAATTCTGAATAAGGACTTTCACTTCAGAGCACTCCTTCTGTCTCTAACCTACTTGGCTTTAGGAAAGCACCCTCACTTGTAGTCTTCCTTGGAAGCTGTTCCAATCATCACTGATTTAGGGTTAATTTTAGCACAAGTGTTTCAACGATCAAGTTTAAAAGCTATTTTTTCCCCTCAGAAAACAAGTGATTATAATAGCAATTAACTATTTGAAAGCTGCTTTCCTGTCTTATAAGAAAAAAAAAGATCAAATCCTCCAACGCAAGGAAGACAGCAGAAAAAATGGCAGAAACCGTCAAAAGGGAGCGAATAAACACTGAGATTAAGGGATCACAAGTTTTATGACACAGGTTTTGTCTGTTGTTCGCTTTTTGTGTATGATACTTACAACCTACAGAATTTTTCAGCCATAGATTACAAAGGTTTCATAACACTAGCTTTTTTCAAAAGATGAGGTTGTTGGCCTCATGCCCCACCCTCAATTTGGAAGACTAGGACATTCTTCGTAGTCTGGTCTTTACCCTTTGACCCGTTCATCATGGGAGACCGCACTGGTACACCATGCTACCAGCAACACTTGTCAGGGATACAGAGATAAGCAAGCCACTCCATTACATCAAAGTGGGCATGTCTTTGGCTTAAGTTAAGGGGGTTCTATGCCCTTGAGGCCTGGGAGAGCAGGGGGAAAGAGAGATGACATGGTAAATATAAATTATTACCCTCTTTAACAAATCAGGAAAGAGAGCCACAGTGACAATAATTGTGGGCAGTTCAATTTCTGAGCACAACACTTTGGGCCTAATTCTCACTAGTGCTGAGTAATGAGAGCCCCAAAAGAAGCTGATGTAATCAGCGGTTGTCCTGCATCTCTAAAGACCATGCCCAAAGCTTGAAGTGAGCATCCAAAACCAAGCCACGTAAAGCCAGTGGCTACTTTGGATAATTTGACAGTGAGGGACTTGATCCAATTAACCTAAAGATTTAGTGGCAGATTCAAACCCAGGGCACAGGTCTTCTGATTCCCAGTTCAGAACTAGTATTAAGAAAAAAACAACCAACCCTATAACATGCTTGTTACTCTGAATGAAGAAAAACTCCTAGAACACCATAATTTATTGTAATCCCACTGCAGGACAAGTTTTCTTTTCTACCATTGGATGGAGAATGCTTGTGATCCTACTTTTTAAAAATGATGGGCCATATTCTTAGCTAGTGAAAATAGATATAACACCAGGGAAACCAGTGAACCTTATTTACACCAGCTGAGAATATGGCCCTTGGTTCTAATGGTTAAACTGAAACAGATATTTACAACTGCAACCAGAAAAAGTACCAGTTACTTGAATAATAAAGACCCAGGTCTTCCCTACAGGGAGTCTGCATGGTTTTTAATTTTTTCAATCATATAACATACCTAACATACAGAATTCAAATATTTGCTCTCAAGTGGATTTAATGGTTGCAATATTTATCCATTAGTAGGTTCTTGATCTTGATGTCAGCGACATCCACAGTAATTGGCAGGTGAACAGGAAGGCAAATAATGAGAATGTGGGCTTTAAAATTAACCTTCTAACTCACACAATTAAAAAAACCCAACCCTCCCACTTGCATTACAAACATTTCAACTTTCATTTGTTATGTATCATTTAGAGTGCTTAACAACAAAGTATAAATACTAAGTTACCTCTCAAAAATAAATGACACCGATGTCAACAGGTTCATTAGATAAAACGAATGTTTTTCCTATAGAACATTCAAAATTATAATTCTACAGGGTCATAGTTCACAGTGGGATGGTGGGACAGTATACCTGAGATTATAAACCCAGTCCACTCTGGTGGTAGCCTTGTATATAACTACAAATTGAATGTAAAGTAGATGTTACCATTCTGAATTTTTTACTGGGATAAGTGATGAGACAAGATGCACCACACATTTTATTCTGCAATATTTAAAAGGAGGCATTAACCCATTTTTTTAACATTTCTGATTTCATTTCTAATACAAACTACCCTTTTTGAGTTGGAAAGTGCAGCACACTGGCCATTTTACGATTTCCACATAAATGCACAATACAACAATTCCCATATAATAGAACATAGATAAAATTTAATTTCCATTTAATGGAGGCACTGATATGTATCAGATCACTCTTTGGACGACTTGACCCTTATCAAGAATTTTAATAGTTTGCAAACTTTGGTAAAATATTGAGGGGTTATATGGAACACTTTTCTGATAGACTTTGATTTGCTGAGGACTGTCTTGACTATACCTTTCTCCCTGTTATCTCAACAGATCTCATTTGTGGACTCAATATCAGAAGACCTATTTAACAATCATAATAAGATCTCCTCCAGTGCTTTCATAGCCACTGACTGACTGGCTCTTCAGTTAGTTTCTCCTCCCCACTGCTCTGCTTTCCTGCAGCTTTCTCCTTTTCTTTCCTCCATCTTCCATGCTCTATCTCATTTCCCAATGCTTTTCATTAGTCACACCCTCCTTTTCTCTCTCATATGTCCAACCTGGTTCCACTTATTTCTCTTTCTTCTCTCATTTTCCTATGGCTTAGTTCCCTCCTGTTCCAATATCAGAGTTCCCTTTCCTTTTTTCCTAACCTGTTGCACCTGTCAAAATCTGGTTCTCAGTTCTTCCTGGAAAGCCTTCTTATTCAACTTGTTATCTCTGTGATCAGATTTCTCTGATGCCCATCATTGCCTTGGCTCAACCATCTTATGCTGACTCTCTTCTGTAGATGCTTCGACTCTACTTCATCACTATGTTTTTCACTGGGCAACTTCGGTTATTTTTACACTGAGACAGAAACTCCAAATCTCAAAGGCACACACCTGGCCAAATATGAAAGATATCCCGCCTGTGTCAGGAACAGTTTTGAAAGCTTTAATCAATCATCACTCCCATCTCCCCAAACAAACAAACACCCAATCTGTGTTCATTAGTCAGATGCCCTTAGTGCATTGCCTAGTGGCTGCAAAACATAACATCACAGTTCCTTTATCCAGTCAATAAAATAGAAAAGTCAATAGCAAATGTCAAATAAAAGTCAAATAAAGTGATGCTTTAAAAATGGCTCCTCATTAATGCACATACACAGGGAATCAGTATTTCCTGAGTCAGACCTTTTTAAGTGTACTGTCTGAAACTAATATTTGCTACTCGTAGCAGTTCAGAACTCTTGTAGATGTGGGAGATAGGTTGTATTCTATTCTGCCTGATGTATCATCAATCCAATTGCCAATTAATTGGTGATACTATAACACCATGTGCCAAACAATCAGCTAGCATAAATCAGCACAGTTCCCTTGATTCAAGAGGCTGATTTACATCAGGTGAAGATGTCAACTGTATGTATGAAAGCTCCTATATTTTTAGATTTGCAGTGCTCATAGAAGAAAAAACATTTTTACTTCAAAAAATTAGATGTTATATTTAATTTGACTTCTAGTTCTTTGAGGGAGAATATATATGTGGAGCTACTATCTTGTTTTTACACTCACTTTTCTGTCCATCAATGCATCTTGAACAAACAGAGTTTAATGAACAAACATTCTGCAAATGCAAATGGGTGAAGAGGTACCCAAGTCAAGGAGCTGCAGCTGTTTATACCAGCAGACAATTTGGCCCTTACATTTCTCTTTCAGTGCCTTCTATAGCTCATTTTAATTACTTTTTAGGTTGTTTCCTGAAGCTTTCTTTTTAATTTAAAAGCTGTCCTGCATACATGTCAAAAAGGAACACTAATCTTTATGTACAGCCCACAGGGTTTATCATTATTCTTTTTTCAGTGATTAAAAATCATATTCTGTCAATACAGCACAATCCTGACACATTCCATTAGTAATCTAGGAACAAGCAAATGCAGTAATATAGTGCCCTTTCCCCTTTAAGGCTTATACTGCCAGTTACATACTGCTTAGGCAACTAGTTCTGCAGTGCAGCACCAGCTGCACAGTTAATCTGCTCTGAGCATTAGTTCCCTAACTACTACCCTGACTGTATCAAGGCAGACATCTTTCTCTTACTGATTGCAATGAATGATTCTGCATATTTACATATGCATGTGGCCAGGCACGCTTACACATACACACATACATAACAAAGTAAACCCAGCAGAATTCTGATTTGCATATGAATGATCTGAATCCCTATGAAACAATTCAAAGTCACATGGAGAGGAATACATTTTACAGTTATTCTCTTCTTTGCTGAGGTTTGTGTCCTGCTAGGGGAGGATGCAGAATTTTGCAAAGGGGGTGGGGGACAGGAGTAGCACCTGCATTTCAGGGGTGACTATACTCGACTCCCAGCTTCCTTCCCACCACACATTCAGGCAGACCACACAGCAGGAGCCTCCACAGACTTATTTAAGTCCACAAAGCAAGTAAGAATCCCTTGCCCTCCCTCTCTGTGCTCACAGGCATAGCCCCTTCTCTCCCATCCCTTGCCAACCCTGTCCTCGCTTTCCAGTGTGTGGGGGAAGCTCCAGAGCCACTCCTACCCACTTCAGCTGGGCTGCATGGGACTAGACTTAGCTGGGGACAGCAACAGGAGCAGAAGAAGTGGGTTTTCCTTCCCTACACCTGCTCCTGGGGGTACTGGGCAAGATGGAGGAATGCACCCTGCTGCCACTGCTGCTGCTGTTGTCCCTCGATCAGCCCAGCCCCCCTACCCCCAGGACAGTGGGAAAAGCAGTAGGCAGTATCAAGTGTGGAAGGAGAAAAAAAGGGGTGAGGGGAGGGGACCTGCCTCTGAACACAGATGGCAAGTGGTGTGGGAGGGGGTAACTCAAAGTCCTGCTTTGAGGACTTAAAAAAGTCCCCAGAGTTTTCTGTGGTGCAGTGTAGTCTGAAAGGGGGTGTGCAGCTACACCCCTGCATGCCCTCTGGATTCGCCTTTGTGTCCTGCTCATCATTCCTGTATGGCTTCTTTCTATTGGCACTGTTCACACTAGACTGGGCTTTTTAAGGAATTTGCCCTCCTCAGTTATCATCCCCTAAGCTGACTGACCCTTCGTGACTGTTCATATTGTCTTCCCACCCCGTTCCTCCCTGTTGGTACTACTGGCCCACACCCTAAGTAAATGAGGATCCAAAGGTATTCAAACAGATGTCTGGAGACCACAAGTCATTCACAATCCTGATTCAATAAAAAGGATGTGTTGTGTTATGGTAAAATCCACACAGTCGCATAGTCCTATATTGCAATAAGATCTCAAATTCTGAGCTTGTTTCACCTGGCAGTCTGTAGCCTGTAATCCTTATACAGTAAGTAAATTAGCTTTGTACAGGGATGGTTAACTTAAGACAGTCAGACCTTGGATGGAAATAGGGGAGGAAGACACATGTCTCCTTCTTAGGGTAGATGGGCAAGAAACTCATATAAATGCACTCTATGCTTGCAGCACTAAGCAAACCAAGCATACTCTGGCAGAACTTTTTCTTTCAACCTCCTAGGACTGTATTGCTTCCATCTCTATGATGCCCAGGAGGGCCCTGCTCCATAGCCTCTTCTGGGACAAGGATTTATTCATTGCAAGAAGTGGGGAAGATTGATCTAAAAGGGTCAGACCTTTAAAAAAGAAAGGGCTATGAAAGCTCAAGACCTACAGGCAGAGGAATGGTTTAGAGGAGAAAAAGGTGAAAAAAAAACAGAGAGAGAGCATTAAATATATTGACATTGCCCTAAATGATACATGCAGAATTATACCAGGCTGTCTAAAACCCACCCCTGTTCCCTGCGAATATATACTATCTGGTATAGCGCCCCCTTACATGAGGAGGAAGGTAGTAGGTGACACTGACTGGCAGGTACACGAGTCAGATGACCACCATCAGCTATATGGACATCAATCAGTGCATCGTCATTTCTCGTGAAGAAGCAGCTTTTCATCCTCTACCACACCATTGACCAGGTCACCAGAATCAGCCAGAACTACCCTCTGGGAAAAAGAATGGGAGAAACTAGGCAACAAAGTTGCTGAATGGAGCCAACTCCCAGTGAGGAGTTAGCATCCAGCTCCAATTAAAAAAGGCACACATGGCAGAACCTAAAGAGATTGAGTGTGGGTCTTGGTAGATGCAGCTTTCTCATGAAATCATGGGGCCTTTTGCAACTGGCCAATGTATTTGTCAGGAGAAGCAAAGCACAGATGATCTCCTGAGATGCCCTGTAGCACCACAATGCACCCCACAAGATTTGTCAACACCAACACCAGAAGCAGTGGCCTGTGCAGAATACTGGGAGCAGACCATATAGAAAGGATGGACTGGAGACAATGAAGAAGTGAGATAACATGCAAAAAAGCAATAAGAAACCACAGTGAAAATGGAGCAGAAAAAAATGAGGATTTAATGCGACAATACTATAATTTGATATTTTGATGTATCAAAATAAAAAGGAAGAGTTAAAGTGAAAGGAAAAAGAAATTTTGCATATGCAGACAGAAGAAATCAAACAGTTACTACACAACATTAGAAATGACCAGCAATCAGCACGGTACCATTATGTTAGATTGGGCACTGATAATACACAATAATCATGGCTAATCCTACTCCTTCTCTAATGCAGCTGTTGTTCTGATTAAATCAGTTTTGATATATTAGTGCTACCCTACACAGTGTAGACAGCAGAAATTTCTGTTCCTCTTTGTTAATACTCATCTATTTAGATGCATGAAAGCAGAATTAGGTGAAAGTTAGTTGTATTAACACTTTAGATCACACTGGGCATGTCTACTTGTGCTGCTAAGGTGCCGTTGTTACTGTGCCATCATTTAGTACTTCCTTTTGAAAGTACTAAAAGACAGTGCAGTAACAGTGCATACTATACCATGCATGCTGTGCAGTTATTTTTAGGCATTACATCGCCGTAGTGATGCACTATAATGCAGGAGTGCATCGCTGTGGTGATATAGCTGTGGCATCACAGTTTTTGCCCATGGACAGTATATCACCATAGCATGTTGCTATGGAGACATAGTGTCATGTGCAGACTCTCCCACTGTGGCTGAAAGTAGCCCCACCTTGATCATGCACTCATAAGAACTAGACTTAAGGAATGAAAAATTACCATATGAAATGTGGTAAAATACATAGTTTCCCCTAAATGCATACTTCTCTCAATGAAACTGGTTTCCATCAGAAGTTGAATCTATTCAGCACTGAGTTAAAATGACTTTCTGAAAAGAACCATCGGGTTTTCCCAGCTCAGATAATGATACCTTATGCTTATTTTCTACAGGCTCTACGCAGTTGTCTGCATGACAATGGTACCTTTAAAGTTTTGGCTAAGTCTGTTCCCAAATATAGAAAAGGATCTCCCGAACATCCCTACCTATGTAACTGAGTCTTTGTTTCAACTTTCTGCAGGTCAATAAGCAGTTCCTTGCACCTGCCAGCATTTTTGCACACTGTGTGCAATACATTAATGGAGATAAAAACATCAAGACTTTGATGTTTCTGTAGTGTCTTCTCTCAACAAACTCTCCAGGCACAGCTAACTTAGTTGCATGATAATGCTGCAAGATAGATACTATTAACATATTAGACCTAGGAAAAACTGATGCACAGGAAGGCTGAAATGATTTGCCCAAGATCACACAAGGAGTCTGTGGCAGAATCAAAAATATAACCCAGATCTCACTCTCACTTGCACTTCAAGCCCAAACTCTTCATAGGCTGTGTGTAGACGAAATGTGTGCATGACACTTTAAAGTGGGTTATATGCTTTTGCACGGTTTTAATGATGTTGGTGTTTGCATGTGTTGGTGGCATATTTTGTACAGTAATTCCAGCTGCTGTACCAAATTCAGCAGTGTAATACACCTTAAATGACTTGGGGCACAGCAAACTAAAACTCCTCAGAGGAGTTTTAGGCACTACATCGCCTTGGAGGAGTTTTAGTTTGCTGCCCTACAGGCATGGAGCAAAGCACTGGGCTCCATGTAGCTCAGGGGCTCTGCAGGAAGCCTGTGTAGGCAGCCTGGCAGCAGCCTGGGAAGGTAGACTATGCCCAAGAGAAAAAAAAGTGGCAATCTGCTTGCCTGAGCTGTGTGGCAGCCTGGTGCTTCGCTACACAGCTGTGGTGCCCCCGGGACAGACCAAGCCAGGTGCCTACGGGTGGGTGCCACCTGGGGGGGTCTACCACCGCTGTAGAGGGAAGCACAGGCCTCCCCCACCCCTGCAGCCCAGGGACCACTCCACCCACCGGCAGCTCGCCCTCCCCTCCCCACTGCTGGAGAAGCAGGTAAGTGCATGGGTGTGTGCACAATATGGGGGTTTACTTCCCCCCTAAATTGAAGCAGTGTTTTTAAAACCCACTGCTTCAATTTAGGGCCCCCATTATGTCTACACATGCCCATAGATATTAAGAGGGGGAAGTAGGACAGCTAACTACTGTATACGTATCTCATCTAAGACTAGCTGTCTTATATACACTCTCATTCCCTCAGTCCTAAGACGCCAACCAACTTTTTATTGTTACCACTTAAGAAAAGGTCAATGAGCAGTTACTGTTAATAAGAAGTTATTGCTACTATTTAAGAAGCAGTTATTAATATTATTGTGATTATTACATCTTATTGTGCTATTATGTTGTTAGGCTTACTACCATATGATGCATATATTATAGTTCATATTGTAGTATGCTGTTATAATAATATTAGTGCGCTTATTAATATGTGATTGTTATTAAGAAAAGTAAAAGATAAAAAAGGGGTGTAAGTTGTAGCTGCGTTGGTCTAAGGACATAGGCAGACAAGGTTCTTTTACCTGATATCTTTTATTAGACCAACTTAAGTCTAATAAAGTATAAGAAAAGGTATCAAATTCACCCAAAGAACCTTGTCTGCCTAATTTATATATATTAAAAAGCACTATATGCCCGATTTTTCAATCTTTACTGCATTATCAAGAAAAGAAAAGTGAGAGAAGAAAAAGATTTGTTCTGAACGTTCTGAACTCTGGCTAAGAGAGGAAGCCCACTCAAAATTTTAATCAAAACTAAAAATATGCCATGTTTCTTCTGAAATGGAGACATTCCTTCAGACAAAACTTCTCCTTGACTACCACGGGTGCCTGAGCGAAGGCAACAGAATCTGGCCTTTGATTGCAAACTGCACTTATCTAATTTCCTTGCTTCTCCACATAGCTGACTCCCTTAACCTTGAGAGGCAAACACTGAGGAAGAGTCTCGCTTCCTTTGTCAGATGGTCTGAATCCGGCTCAGGCGCTTCACAGAGAGGCTGTTCAGCCTGCTGCAGGTCCATCCCTGAATGCTAAATAAGCTCCCAGACTGCATACTTTCTCTCAGTGGAGCTTAAAAAGAAATCTCTGTCAGTGCACTGAGATGTTGGCATGGCAACCTGGAAAGAAAAATCTGCAGCCCCTGGCAATCTTAGGAGTAGTAGCAGCTTGTTTATGTGACTTGTTATTTTTAAATGATTTTGCGGCATCTGCCCTTTTTACTTGGGAAAATGAGGGAAGATGTTCTTGCTTTGTATGTATGAAGGAGAGTATATATTTAATTTTCTTCATGCCGTGGTGTACCTGCATGCAACTAGACGTATATTTACAGGGGGCAAAGGGAGATCATGTGCTGTGCTAGAGAAATGCTGGTCTAACTTGCAGTGTCTTCTGTTTGAGTTTGTGACTAGATTTAGCAGTACTTAAAAGCGCATAAAAATCCACACACATTAGTTATCATAAAGGGAAAATGGGATCTGCAAAGAATGTAGGTGACTTGGTTAATGACTGGCACAAGACTTGCTCTAGGCATTGGCAGACTCCCCCATCCTGGACTGCCTATGGTTGCTAGCAGAGGACAAGGAAGCTGTAAAATGAGACACAAAATCCTCTTGGGCCACAGTCCATGACTGCAGCCAGCGAAGATGCATCCCAGAGGGATCTGCCTCCTCCTTTTGAAGTAGAAGGGAAATTTGCAGAATTTCATCCAACTAGCTGATTTTACTCTGATTAAAACAAGAATCCCCAGAACCCTTGAAAAATAATGCTTTGCGGTTTTTTAATGGACCTTTGGTGAGATCCTCTCAACTCAGCTCTGCACTTAATGGAAAATTATATCCCATTTGTACAGAGTCTAGTGCAATGAGCCCTGATTTTGAGCAGGACCTCTCGATGCTATTATACTATTAATGAAACTCCTACTACTCCTAGTAGATGGCTGGTTCTAAGCAAATAGTGAGGCAAAAGCTCACAACCTCAACCAAACCAGCAGACGGTGGAATAGTAGCAGGTATGCTGAAAAGCAAGGCTTTGTCCAGAGATGGAGGATGGAAGAATGAGATGGTTAGCAATAAAAACATCAATATCATAGTAGTAAATATAACCAGGTCTGGTGCCCAGTTTAGACTACTTTATTTAACAGGATATCTCTTCTCTGGACAGCAAATGAAGCATGAAGCATGGACTCAAAAGGAGCAGAGACCAGTCAACCACATGTCCACCTGTCCTCAGTGCACAATGCTTACTCTAAAACTTGGCCATATCACACGAGAAGGGTATCATTAGAATATTTTAAAATACAGTTTTAATAAAGAGCACTTTTAGGGAAACATTATGCTAAACAGTGTGATTAGAAGAATATGTTATTAAAGATATTTTACTTAGAATTCAGGCTTGTTACTCCAGTTGTTAGATCATGAGCTCTGCAATGTCATAATCGATTACACTGTCTGGGAACATCAACTGCAACAAGTTAGACCTCTTGTTACTATGACAACACAGTTACATTAAGCTAATCTCTCATTCCTTAAAGAAGCTTAGTTTTTTTTATGTTCACCTTATAAGAAGAAACATTGAAACTAGTTAAAATAATGAATGGAACATAACAACAAAAGCAGCCATTTCATTGTCTTTCTCCTGGTCAAATTCAATTTTGATGTGTGTGACTACAAATCCATTGATTTCAGTGACATTATTACAGAAGAGTTGGTTCTAAATGTAGCTTTTAAAAATGCCTATGTGACGTGGAAGCACAGCTGCAGATTTTCAGAGGGAAGGCAGGCAAGTGATAGGTGAATTTCAGTGATACTAAATCTTAAATTCCTTTGAAAAGCCAAGCCATAAAAATCAATATTCATGGTCCTAAATCATTTAGGAACATTTAAAAATCCAACCTATACTTTTTTTGGATCCAATATCTAGACATGCTCAGCACCACAACTGAGCCCAGGATTTCTAAGGAGTTCAGATCCCACTTAGGCACCTGGAAAAATGGACAGATTTTCAAAAGTATTTGCTAGACGGAGATGCTCAATAGGGCTAGGGACAGACATTCAAAAAGCCTGAGCCTGAATTGGTTGAATCTTTGCAGGTTAGTCTAAACTGCCTAGACTGAATCAGTTTGTAACTGTACAGACATCCCAGACATGCAGGCACATGCCGCAGTGGCTCAGGCTAGAAGCCAGGGGGTGCTACAGCAGCTCTCCTTTCCTTCCACAGCACTGACATTGCATTAATCAGTGTCACCCAAATCAGTAAAGTCTGATACTACATTCAACCAGGTTTACCTGAAACCGGTTTCAGCCATTTTCAACCTGGTTTATGTGCACAGAACATCTGTTCTGTTACCAGTTTAAACCAGTTTCTGATCACTTAAACCAGTTTATGTGTAATGTCTGTCCCTAACCTAGGAGCCAACACATGCTGACAAGTTTGGCCGCTTCATTAAGGTGCCTAAGAGGGGGGCTGAATTCTTCTAATAGTTCGGCTGATAACTTGGGAAAATCTAACCCCTTTCACTCCTGTACACTGAAGCAGAGGAACAGCCAGGATCAGACAGAATGAAATTGGAGGCTAGAGAAGAGAAACCACCTTAAAATTGGATTATATAATGAAAAGAGATGGCAAAGAATTTTTAAAAAATTAACTCCTTTGATATAAAAAGGGACAGTGATCAATCTGTGAAATTTCTAGGAGAGTAGGAAAAGCTAGACAAAGGCAAGGACTGAGTCAAATTGAGTGTTTTACTCTATTTAGCAAATAAGTATGCTAAAAATCCAAAGAACATGGAGGCAAGGACAAATTCATTCTCTGCAGTTTTTGAATATTAAGAGGGGGTGGAAATTTCCTTGGCCCCATTCCCAATCCCCTCCAAACATACCACCCAGGGGAAGCTATACAGGAGGCTTTAAAGAGAATGGTGAAATAATATTTCCTAAGGAATGCCTCAAAGATACAGTGCTGAAAAGCCTCCAACTATGCTCTCTTCCATAATGTGATTTGATCATGTCTGATACATTCAGATAAGGTGTCCCAGAAAATGACATCCGTGTTACTTCTAACAAATACAAAGCAGAAACAATGCTATGCAATGTATATTTGCTTGTATCAAAATCAGCAAGTGAGATGCATGGTGTACACAGTAATTATCACCACAATTTCCTGAGCAAAAAGAGAAAGACTAGCATGATTAATTAACAGCTTCTTCCCCATGAGAGCTATCAAACGATATGGTAAGAAGTCTTCTTTCAGCTTTGTAAAAATCATAAATAAAAGAAAATAAACTCAAAAATCAGATTTATCTTTAGATGCCATTACTTTTCCTCCTCAGCTATTTCACTTGCTTCTCCTACATTTTCTAGGCGTATATTGCAACTGAAAACGCACACCCAAAACAGAAGACCCAGTGGTTTTTGCTGTAAATGAGACCTTAAGGGACTGCTCCTTGAGGTAGGGTCGGATTTTAAATGGATAGGGTAGGGGCACAGTACAAATAGGCAAACAAAGAAAATAACTGCTGCTACATTACAGTAATGTTGGAGCTGCCAAAATCACAGGCTCACAAAGTTTTACATTAGGGCAAAAGGCCTGTTGGCTTTCTCATTAATGGTGTTTCTAGGAAGAAAAAATATGACTATATCAAAGCAAATTGGTTACCTGTCACATGCAATTTGTGCGTGGGAAATTTGGCATTCAAACTTTACTATACTCATAAAATGCCAAATCAGCCCCAAGATATATTAGTCTTGAACAAATGCTGCAGCTTTTAGAAGAGGTTACTACATTTCCATAAGACAGCATGAAGAGAGTGTAGTATGGCTTTCTTCAGGGCTCAAAGTGCAGTCCAATTCTCATTAAAGCTAATGAAAAGTTTCCCTATTGATCTTCAAAAGCCTTGGTGCTCAACTTTCCGGCCCTGTGAAATGGATGAGTGATATGGGCCTGATCCGCAGACCAGATCTAGCATGGGGTCGGAGCATAAGGTCAGTCTCAGGGTGTCATCTGACATGCTGGCCTGGCCACATGTGCCAGATCTGGTTGTGGAGTGACCCCACACGCTGGTACAATCAGGCATGTGGGACTGTCATCCAACTTGCAGAGCTCCCCAGAGGTCCAGAAATTTGGCAGCAGGGAACTAGTGCCAGCCTTAATTGCCATGACTTCCAGAGTGGCAAACTGGCTTCTGGTGCTCCCCCAATGCCAAGTTTCTGGGCCTGTGGAAGCCCTATGGGCCAGATAAGACTGGTCTGTGGACCGGATTTGGCTCACAGGCCAGAAGTTGAACACCAGTTGTTCAAAAAAGTTGGATCAGACCACAGCTGCATAGCAAGTGCTATTGAAACTGAAGCAAATCTCTCTGAATCACCCTCATGCTGCAGAGTCAGCATGTGCAACTGAAGTCATTTTTTCTGCCTGACTGAGGCCCAGACTCCACTGGGGATTGCTGTCTCTCTGCATTGCCCTGCAGATAATTACACTGAGCAGTACGAGGCAGTACAGAGGTCACACAGAGAAATGAGAAGTAAAGTTACTTGACTTCACGGCAGTGAGGCTCTTTATGAGGAGACTGAACCCCAGAATAGAGGAATGGAAAGACAGTGGCAGGATCTGAGATAAGCAGGGGTGAGATGAAAGGCTAGACTGGCAAATGAGGGGGGACTAGGGAAGCAAAAAACCAGAAAGAAACAAAAGAGTCACTAAATGGCCTTTCAGCATAGGACACTCTGCTGCGTCTGTGTGGAGACATGTACCCAATCGTCTGTTTAAAAACTGACCCAGGGAATGGGGTCATCAGATTCTTTCCTAAATGTACCCACTGAACTTGGCTGGACCAAATAGGTCTACAGACTTGTAAAACAAATGATTCAGTTAGGAAGCATTTACATTCATACTGTAACAGAACTAAATCTCCTCAGTTTTCTTTTCTTTTCAGTCTTTTCCTATTCCAGTGGAACAGTATTTGTTTTTATTCCCAGGTGCCCAAATCAG